AATCAAGCCACTTCTCACCACCCTGTTACAAGCCACCATCTCTCATCTGATTTCTGCAATAGCCTCCGGTGGCCCTGCTCCCACCACCCCCACCCCCAGTGCCATATCTGTTTTCAGAACAGCAGATGTGTCACTGTGTCACTCGTCTGCTCCAGAGTCCCTAGTTCATTGAGGATAAAAGCTAGAGTCCTTACAGTGGCTTACAATCCGATATTCCCCTCTCTCCCCATTATTTATTCGCCCTCATCCCCTATTCTCTCCTTTGCTTCCTGGTTCCCATTACAATGGCCTCTTAGCTATTCCTGGAACATGCCCGGTACACACCTATTTTGGGGTTTTTGCCTAGGCTGTTCCCTCTACTCTCATTCCTGACATTCATGGCTCACTCCTACTTCCCTCAGGACTTGAATGTCGCCTAGTGAGGCTTCCCCGACCCCCTCCTTCCTTAAAACTGCTACACCAGCCCTGGCCCATTTTCCTCAGTGGTTAGAACAGCAGCCTCGGACTGAAGGGTCTTGGGTTTGATTCTGGTCAAGGGCACACACCTCGGTTGCAGATCCCCAGCCCTAGCCGGGGTGTGTACGGGAGGCAACCAATCAATGTGTCTCTCTCACATCGATGTTTCTCTCTCTCTCTCCCCCTCCCTTCTGCTCTTTCTAAAAATCAATGGGAAAATATCCTCAGGTGAGGATTCACCAAAAACAAAACAAAAAAACAAAAACTGCTGCCACACCACCTTGTCCCCCATCTTTTACTTTTCTCCATCACACTGTCACAGGTGTAACACACTTCTTATTTTTAAACTTTTTATTTTCAAATAATCATAAATTCATGGGAAGCTGCAAAAATTGTACAGAGAGGACCTTGTGCCTTTCACCCAGTTTTCCTCAAAGGTCCCATCTTCCATAGACGACATCAAAACTAGGAAATTAGAATTGGTGTGGCGTGTGTTTCGTTCTAGGTCATTTTATCACAGGTGTCAGCTCATGTAACCACCACGGCAATCAACAGGGTATTCCACCAAAATTGTCCCATCACCACAAAGACCTCCCTTGTGGAACCCCCTATAGTCACACCTCTTCCCACCAAAACCAGCCCTAACCACTGGCAACCACGAATCTGCTTCTCATCTTATAATTCTGACAGTTGGAGAATGTTATAGAAATAGTATCAAACTTCGTGACCATCTAAGATTTTCTGACTCGGTATAATGCTCTTGAAATCCATCCAAGTTGTTGTATGCATCAGTTCATTCCTTTTTATTACTGAGTAGGGTTCCATGGTATGGGAGACCAGCTTGTCTAACCAGTGATCTACTGAGGCTCACGGTGGCTGTTTCATTTTTTACTATTACAGATGAAGTTTCTACGGACAATTGTGCACAGGTTTTTGTAGAAATGCAAATTTTCATTTCTCTAGGATCAATACCGAGGAGTTTTTCTAGTAAATTTATAGTTAGATTTTTTTTTTAATATATATTTTTTAAATATATTTTATTGATTTTTTACAGAGAGGAAGGGAGAGGGATAGAGAGTTAGAAACATCGATGAGAGAGAAGCATCGATCAGCTGCCTCCTGCACACCCCCTACTGGGGATGTGCCTGCAACCAAGGTACATGCCCTTGACCGGAATCAAACCTGGGACCCTTCAGTCCGCAGGCCGACGCTCTATCCAGTGAGCCAAACTGGCTAGGGCAAGATTTTTTAAGAAACTGCCAAACAATTTTCCTGAGGAGCTGTTACACCATTTTACATTCCCATCAGCAATGTATGATAGATCTAGTTTCTAGACATCTTCGCCAGCGTTGAGTGTTGTCACTAATTTGGAGTTTAGATCATGTAACAGGTGTATTGTTGTATCTTATGGTGGCCTGAATTTGCATTTCCCCAAGGGCTAGTGATGTTAAACATCTCCTCATGTGCTTATCTGCAATCTATGTGTCTTCTTCAGTGACATTTCTCCATGTCTTCTGCCCATTTTCTAATTGGATTGTTTTTTTGATATTGAGTTTTCAAAGCTCTTTATATAATCTAGATATGTGTCCTTTGTCAGACACGTGGTTTGCAAACATTTTCTCCCAGTCTGTAGCTTATCTTTTTAGCCTCTCAACCGGGTCTTTCATAAAGCAAATGTTTTTTAATTTTCATAAAGTCCAATTTCTCAATTCTTTATTTTATAGATCATGCTTTTGGGGTCATTTCTACAAACTCTTCACCAAGCCCTGCGTCTTACAGACTTTTATCCTTTGAAACTGCCACAGCACCTCCATCCCAGCCTTCCTTACCACCCTTCTTGCTTTTCTTTGTCTCAATAGCTCTCCATTGTACATTTTATTATTTGTGTATGGCCTGCCTTGCCCTGCTGGAATAGAAGTTCCACTGGTATAGGGGGTCTTTCCTGTTCTGTTCACTGCTCTATCTCCAGTGCCTAGCACAGTGTCTTGGTACAAAGTGCTCAGTATACCTTTGTTGAATGATTAAAGGGATCTTGGCTTCTGAGATGCAAGATGCTGGGACCAAGAGGTATTGCTCAAGACAGGTAACCTCACCAGCTGTACCTTTGTGAGCCACATGAGGGGGAGACGAGAATACTGGAGTGAGGACTACAGCAGTCCCACTAGCACCTGCTCCTCCCTGCCCCCACCCCTCGCTGCCTGTTAAGTTTCAGGCAGAGACAACAGCAGGTGCAAAGGCCAGGGAGTGGGAGAGCGTGAGACATACAGTGCAAATGGCTGGGGTTGGGGCAAGGAGTGGAGGGCCTCAAGGAAGACCACGCAGGAGGGTGATGGGATCAGATCCTCTGGAGAGGGTGGTCGGACTTGGGGAATGGGAACGAGCTCCATTGTCGATGTGTTGGGTTAGAGGGCCACTAGGCCGTCTAAGCTGAGCAGCTGGCCACAGGTCTAGAGGTCAGGGGAGCCCCATACGGCGGACAGAGAAGAAGGAGAGCACATCTAGATGGAAACTGAGGCCAGGGAGTGGCTGCTCTCACCGGGAGGGAGAACAGGGTGCAGGTCCTCAGGATACAAGCGCTGGGGGAAGAAGCAGCAGTGATGTCCAGGGGCTTGTGAAAAACACAGCTCCCTGCTGAACTGGACTCTGGGTGTGGGGGCCCCAAAATCTTTGTTTTTAACCAGCTTCTGGGCAATTCTGATAAGCTTGAGACTCACAGCCTTTGGGAACTGAGAGGGCTGAGGGATGAAGGAGAGGCGACAAGAAAGTGAAGCCCTAGAGACTTTGTTCCCAAAAAAAGAGTTTGATGTAAAAAGAAAAAATTAAAGTGTGAAAATACCAAGGCTCGGCGGGGAGGTGCGGGGAAATACTGCCACAGAACCTGCATACAGGGCAGGGAGAGGGTGCACACCGATGCGACCGGCCTGGTAAAGGTGGGCATAGCATTCCCCCAGCCACTCCACTCCTGCGTACACGCCCTGGGGAAAGTCTCCCACGTCCACAGGGGAGATGTGTACAAGAATGTTCACAGCACAGTGTGCAAACGCTACCGTTATAACAACCTGGTTACTAGATAACAGGGAAGGAGTACAGGGGAGGCTGGACAATACAGGCATGCCACTTACACAGCTTTGCCAGAAAGCTGCCGTTTAGACACACGCCCATAAGGCCCGGGTGACATGGGAAGGTGCTTACGTGTCGATCACACCTGGGAACAGGTAATTGGCCAGAATAGGCGTGGCCGCTGCAAGGATGTGAAACCTGAGATAGTTAAGGTCCAAACAAAGGGAATTTCGCTCTCTTGGTGCTTCCTTGGCTCTCTCTCTTGCTGCTCACTTCTTTCTTTCTAACATATTTTTATTGGTTTCAGAGAGGAAGGGGGAGGGGAGAGAAAGATAGAAACACATCAATGATGAGAGAGAATCATTGACCAGATGCCTCTTGCAATCCCCCTACTGGGGATCGAGCCCACAACCCGGGCATGTGCCCTTGACGGGAACTGGCCGACGCTCTATCCACTGAGCCAAACCAGCCAGGGCTCTTGCTGCTCACTTCTGACTCCTGGCTTGTGGGGCTCCCATGATCTGCATTCACCCACGTGGCTCATGGCCTTGTGGGACCCACACAATGGACTGGTGGGCTGGATCTAGCCTGATGCTGTGCGGGACTCAGCTCCGCCGTGGATGGAAACTCTGGACGCTGGCTTTGCTTCTCGCTCTACAGAAGCCCCAGCTGCATATTTCCCACACAAACGAAAATCATCCCTTCTCCCGCGCGACTCCTAGACAATCCCTTTTCTGAGGATCTCGCAGGAACCCCACTCCCGTTAGTGCTGGAGGAATCGCACCCACCCAATCCTCCAGCAACACAAACAACTCAGCTGTCTGCCTGCGGGCGAATGGATAAGTGAAGGGAACCCATTGCCTCTGGTGGGGGAGGCGGCTGGTGTTAGGGAGGGTCCCAGTTTAGTTCTTAGCCCGGTACTCGTTGCTGCATGTTTTGTTTTATTGTAATTATTTCTGCTGGACACACATAAGATGTGTGTAAGTTTTAAATACTTTACTTAATTTCAATTTGGGAGAGACAAGACCATTTGGTAGAGAGAAGTTTGGAGGTCAAGGAAGAGGTTTTCTATAGTAAGTTGTGCTTTTTAAGATGAGAGGGACTAGTAGAGCATGCTGAATGCAACGGCCAGGCGCTGGAGCGACCGCATGAGACAGAGCACCGACAGGAGAGAGGCCCTCAAGGATGGGATGAGACCAAACGGACGAACACTGACCGCAGATGAGAAGCAAGCCATGTGTCCATGGCACCAGCAGGATGGGTGTGGAAACAGGCAGGCTGGGCCTGGTAGCAGGAAGCAGGGGGAGCTGACATGGGGTGGGCCCAGCCCCCAGCCTCTGACCAGCACAACGTGGGGGGTGTGCTATGACAGTATTCCTGGTTCCAGGCACAGAGCTCCTAAAATCCTTGCAGTTTTCTGACCAGAAGCTCTTTTGTTATTCACACTGACCCCCTTTCCACCACCCCAACATTTATGCTAATGAGGTGACTTGTGGCATGCCTCCAGATAGCTTCTGGATGGGGCTGGTGGCCTGAAAGACCACACCTTGATTAGAGGATTGAGACTTTTAGCCCCATCCCTGACCTCTGGGGAGCAGTGAGGGGTTAAAGAGTGAGTTCAGCCTCCAATGGCCAATGATTAATCAATCATGCCTACATAACGAGACCTCCATAAATATCCCCAAGTGACAGCGTTCGGAGAACTTCCGGGTTGCACACATCGAGGCACTAGGAGGGAGGCCAGCCAGGAGAAGGCATGGAGCCTCTGAGTTTTCCTCCAAACTTGGCCTCTCTTCCATTGGGCTGCTCCTCGGTTATATCTTTTACAATAAACCAGTAGGAATAAGTAGTACTTTCTTGAGTTCTGAGAGTCGTTCTAATGAATTATCAAACCTGAAAAAAGGGGGTCGCAGGAACCTCCAAATTTATAGCCGGTCAGGCTGAAGTGCTGGGACTTGTGACTAGCATCTGAGGTGGGCATCCTGCTGGGACTAAGCCCTTAACCTGTGGAGTCTGTGCCAGCTCCAGGTGGTGTCGGCATTGGATTAAATGTGGAACAGCCAGTTGGTGTCAGAAAGAACCTCAGGGGGCTTTCCGCTATTTGGGGTTCTGAGAGACTCCTAGCCCTAGAGCCCAGTCCAGTTTCATCCTGAGAGTCAAAGGCTTTGAATGACCCTGTTGGGAATGTGACCACCATTTTCCCACTTATTCCCAGGGAAAAGCCTATTTCTGGTTTATAAACTCAGCCCCAAACAAACTTCTGGAACGTGACCACTTGTCCTACGCCCGTTAAAGGACCCATGGGCTGCGGGCATCCTGTGCACTCGGCCCCACCTCTTGCCCCTGGGCTCACCTGAATTTTGAGCCTGAATTTTCTGATGCCAGAGAAAGCCTTCAGCGTGTTCAGAGCTTGGATTTTGACACTGTTGTCCTTGTCATCCAGCATGGAGCCCACGAGCATGATGTCATCAGGAGTACAGGCAGAGGCCTAGGTGTGCCGGGAGAGACGGAGGAGGCGGGAGCAGTGCATGTCCTAGGCCCAGTGCCCCCCACCCCATGTCACCAAGACCTCTCCCCACAACCCCTCCCGCCATCGTCAGCCAGAGAGACAGGCCCCAGGACACAGTCTGGCCGGGCAAGACTGTAGCCGCCCGGGGCCAGGCTGGCTAGGAGGGACCCCTGCTTCCCGCCCCTCACCTCAGCCTCCAGCAAGTACACACAGCGGGTGATGTTGTGCAGGATCATGCCCTTGGTGTACTCATCGTGTCTGTTCTCCAAAGAGTTGAGAAGCCTCCGGAGCTCACCCGAGTCCCCCCCGTGCCGCTCTCGCTCGATGGCCAGGCCTAGACAGCCAACCCAGCCAGTTCAGGCTGTGGACTCGGAGCGCAGACAGAATGGGGTTGGGGGGGGGGGGAGAAGGACCTGGGACAAAGCTGCCTTGCCTCTTCTGAAGAGCTTTCTCGCTACAGGCAGGACCACCGCGTACAGCTGGACAGGGTGTGGCGTGCACGGCGCACCTTATCTAATGCTGTGTCAGTCACATCATAAACATCACAGTTTTAAATATTTACTCTAACAATTTCCTGGCATATGCAGGAACACACAGTTTTCCATCCTAATTAGCATATGGCCCTGAGATTCCAGCAGATGGCAACAACACGTCTTGCAGAAGGGGAGCCCTTTTCTACTTTGCCCAAAGTTGTCATATGAACTAGTACAGGCTCTGGGCACGTAGGTCCCCCAATTTTCCTTTTTTTTGGAGGGGGGGGGGGGAACTGCTGATGCCTGATCCTCACGCAGGCGTCCCGGAAGCCAGAGTGAATGGAGAGTGTAAAGACCTGCCAGATGAGTCCTGAGGACCCCCTTGAGTCCCAGGCCCCTGTGCTGGAGTGAGTTTAAGGAAGATGGAGGAGGAACTTGGAGTCACCTCTGGGCCCTCCCACACTGGAGGCCCCGGGGAGCAGGTCCTCCTGGAGCCAAGTCCTGCCCCCAGGGCCCAGACACTCACGGGCGATGCAGGTGGGCGAGGAGGTAGAGAGGGGCTGTTGGCATTTCATGCCAGTCCTGATGGCCTTGTAGAGCAGGTAGACGGCCCCGGCGCCTATGGTCAAGCCCAGTACACTCTTGCGGATGTTCAGTTGCCCCAGTGGGGAGACGTTCTTGCCCATGTCCTCCGCGCCGCCTTGGGCCCAGGTGGGCGCTAGGCCGGAGGCGCCTGGTAAGGGCCTTCCGGAACCAGAACCCTGGCAGAGCCAGGAACCAGGGTGCGAGAATCGCAACCCAGGCAACAGAGGAAACGGAAGAAATGGTGGGATGGAGGGTGCTCGGGAAGCAGGGAAGCCAGAGCAGCTTGGAAGGAGAGAGGGTTTAGCTTAGAGGCTGCGGGAAATGAAGCTCGAGACTCTACGGGAATAAAAAGTCTGGGCCGGCAGGGTCTTCACCTCCCCTATTCCTTAGGGCAGCCAGGCTGGTGGGGTGCCAGCAGGGGGCTCCCGAGGCTGCCTTTCCTCCATTAGAGGGCAGCAGAGGCCCAATTTCTGGGCTGGGCCTTTGAAACTTTCTGGGAGGGGTGTTGGGGGTGTGCCCACTGGCAGCCCCAGTTCCCTCCCTTCCCTGGCCCTCCTATCTTCCATCTTTTCACCACAGATCCACTGCTGGGCCTCGGGAGCCGCTGCAGGCCGCCCCCTCCACCACCCCCAATGCAGGGATGCAGTTTACAAAGTGCTGCAGAGTCTGGAGGCAAACCCACCTGCTCCCAGCACCTGCATGTGCTCCTGCAGTGTACAACCTGTGGGACCAGACGCTCCAGAGGGTAGTTGTCTGCATCTCCAACATGCAGCACAGTCTTGCACTTAGTAGGTGCTCAAGTCATGACTTCTGTCGTTCTCTGAGGACTTGAGGGCAGAATGGCGACAGAATCTAGATACGGGCTCCGGGTCCATTTAACCAGTGTGGCCTAGAGGAAGGGACTGCCCTTGCCTTGGTCCCAGTTTCTGCATTTCTACCCGGAGACTCAGGTTTACCATTCTAAAACTCCAGGTTTAAAATTGGGGTAGGTCTGTGCCTTTAAACTATGGGGGCTTAAATCTGTGAGTACCACCCCCACCTCCCCACCCCTCACCCCCAGGCAGAATGAGGCTTGAGGCCTCTTCTGGAAGAGCCTAACTTTGAAGGCCTTGATCTTCACTACTAGGATGGGGCAGGTGGTCAGACCCTTCCATCCTTCTCTTCACCCCCTGGCCCCACACCTGCGGGCCTCACCTCTGGCGTAGAACCAGGAGGTGACGGGCCCAGAGCGAGCGCTGAGCATGGTTGTACCAGAACGGGGCTTCCCTGCCTGGCGGCGAGTTCCTGTTGGGAGGCTCTGGGTCCTGGGCTGCCCCTGGGCTTGAAGGAGGTGGGGAAACAGGAAAACAGCCTCCCCATCAAGGCCTGTCCACTCAGAGCCTGTGCCCACCACACCTGGCTGCGGGCAGCGCCCTTACATGGCCATTCTCTTCGTCCCTCTGCCCCAGCCCCACAGACACCCAGCTAGGTAGCCTAGGGGTGACTACACAGACTCCCTGCAAGGAGGCCTCGTCCCTGCGTGGGACCCACAGTCACCACCCATGAGCTCCAGGAAGGAAACGCCTGCCTGCTGAGGGCTGCTTTAGGTTCCAAGGTGACCCTGGTGGGCCTGGGGATAGAGCCTTCAGAACAAGGTCCCTGCCCTTCTCTGGGGTGTGACAGAGCGACTGGCCTCTCCCGTCCATGGATTTGATTCTGCGACCTTCACATGCTAAGCAAACACGGTGCTCACATGTTCTGTAAAGGCCTCCAAAGGTGAACTCTTTCTTGGCTTTAACCCAGCTCCTTCCTGCTACACCTAAAGCCCCTTCCCTTCGGTTCTGCCCTCAACTGACTCAAAGGGGTTGGCGGCAGAGGCACCCCCAGGGTGACATTTCCATGGGTCCACAGCACGAGCAAATAATAAAGCAAGAGGAATGTCTATTTGCGGGTGTAAAGTCAGTGACTGGTCTTTCTTGGGAATGGCTGCTTTTGATTGAGATGATGTGTTTCTTCGTGAGAGGAGAATTCAAATATACTTGCTTTTATGAAATATGGTAATAGATGATGGTCGTGCTTTGAGTGTTCTTAAGGAGCATAAATGAAAGCTGCAACTCTTTGTGGGAACTTGGCTTTTGTTCCCTTGTATTGGCTTTTCTGTCAAATCCAGAAATCTGGAACCACTGATGAGAGAGAAGTCTGAGATTCCACATACACTCAGCCCCAAGTTTCTTACCAAAGCAAAGGGTGCGGGCTGCCCTCGCGCATGACTCTGGCCTCCCCACCAGCCTTCTACCTCCCGGGCTGCTGTCCTCCCAGGTTAGGTGCAGTTTAGCTTAGTGAGAGTGTGGGCTCTAGCCAGACTTCCCGGTTCAAAACCAGCCCAGTCACTGACTTAGCTTTGTGTTTCCTTTTTAAAATTTTTTTAAAATATTGATTTTTTTTAGAGAGTGGGAAACGTGGATTGGTTGCCTCCTGCACACAACCCCACCAGTGGATGGAACCAGGACCCCTTGGTGCAGAGGAGGGTGTCCAACCACTGAGCCACACCAGCCAGGGCAGCTTTGCCATTTCTTCTTGCTGCTTCTTCCCCATCTGTAAAATGGAAATGATACCTACCTGGGGAGGGTGTGTGCGGGGATTAAGTAAAATGCTTAATACTGTGATGATCAGGTTTCAGCGGTCAAGAACATTGGGCGGGAAGGCTGTGAGCACGCGATGGTGGGCCTCGAAGAGGCCTCAAAGGCACATCCTTCAGCTCCTTCCACTCACCCTCTACCCCCCCCCCCCCCCCCAAAAAAAAAAACAGGGGGTTTTTTGACGTAAACCGCCCCCAATCCCCGCGCACCCTTTTACCCCCTTTTGAAAATTTTGATTATAGAAATTTTGTGAAAACCCCTACAATATCCGGGGGGGGGGGGGGGG